GCTGAATAACCTGCAGATACCTGGTCTGGCTAACCCCAAAGGAGAAGTTGGTATTCACAACTAGAACACAAGCAGCCCTTGATCACCCTATTTATATGCGACAATTACTGTCTTCAATGAGTGTCCATATGACCCCAACAGTCAGGTAATTAACAAAACCTTTTAAGACCATTTCCCCAACAATCCCAATTGATTGTCAGAAATACACTGCAATGCTTCAGAAAAGCTTGCATGTTTGCCCACCCACAAAACTCAACTTGCAGTAATTTTTGCAAATATGCTATCTCCTTCCCCTTCCAGTATTTCCCACCATTCTAATGCTCTAGTTAAAGACCTTAAAGAATTTCCAAAGTGTTTTCCTCCAGTTAGTTAGGAATTCATGGGAATTAGTGTTACATTTTTTTAAAAGCAACCAAAAAGAATCAGAGACTAGCTCAATAAAGGGGTACAGAGGAACAAAACAAAGCCCTTATCTACACCAACAGCACTACTCCTGACAAAACCTAGCTCTGAGGTTTTTTTCCTCCTCCTTTCTTATGACCCAAGTTCCCCAAAATACACTCCAGAGTCTGCATAAAAAGTTAAGCAAAAGCACACTAGAAACATTTTCAAATTTAAGGGGAAAAAAAAGAGGAAAAAGAACTGGAAGTTAAATCCTTTCTTTCTAATGTTCCAGGAAAAATGAGACAATGAGCTGTGTGTCATGGGATGTTAAGTTTCCATGCTATCTGACATGTCACAAACATTGCCAACATAGTAGCTAGTCAGTTAAAAGTATCTCCTTAGAGTAAGGCAGCAGGTTTTAAGTCCGAATATAGGGCATTTAAATACAGAAGTAAAGTAATTAGCAAGGTATCCTCCCGTTTTCCAAAACCAGATTTGGGCGTAACTACAACCCTCTCCAACTATTACACATCTCAGCTTTAAGATCAAAAAATAACAACTAATAGAGCAAGACACACTTCTGCTGACATCACACAATCAAGCGCATGCTGGACCTGACACTCAAAGCTGATCTTGAATTAGCTTTTTCACTGTTGATCACTTAAGTGATGTCTCCTGCTAGAGTGCTTTCATATTGCATGTAGATACATATACTTAAGAAAGGTGAAGGGCACAGCCAGCCACATGAAGATTCATGACTGTGGCTCACTGGCGTTCACCGACTTGCCAGAGTTGGTATCAAGATCACCTCTGCCAAACTGCAGAATAAAGAGAAATATCTTCTCCCTATCTAGCTTAAATGCCTCTTGGCTGTATGCCAAGAACTCCAGCTGCACCTCACTTACAAGGAGGACCAAAGGCTTTGGAAGAAATCTTTTCTTTTTTTTTTTTATTTTTTTTAACACACATCTGCAGTCTAATTAATAGTTTTTCTGCAAAGTACAGAGCACGCTGAGATCTGGTATACCAAAGATGACAAGCTATCAAAAAGAGACTTCAGGAATAACTGTCTAATTTTAAGTTACCCTATGCATAATTCAGGTCTGTCATCTTAAAAAGAATACAGGCATTGCATTGTGACAAGACTGTAAGATGACCCATTGAGCTGCTAGCTTCCAGGTTTGACAGTGAAAGTAGTACAAATACCTTAGGCTTGTTTGGGTGTGCTCGCACAACACTGGTAGATACAGGAGACCCAAAGATATCACTTGTCTTCCCACCAGGTGGATTCATGCGTGGACGAGGCTGAGCAGAACTAGAATCCTCAAAAATACCACTTTCTTTTCCCCCTGCAAGGCAGTTGTTAGATGACTTAGTTTTACCACACTATATTAAAAAAAAAAACAAAAAGATAGAATTCAAAGACTTCTAGAACTCTACTGCCTAGAGACTTACTTTTATCTTCCCTGAAGATACTAGTTGAAATCTTTTGTTACAAGAATTTACTAGAGGATCTCAGATTCACAGCTGTGTGCTGTGAATGTGCTGTAGTTCACTCACTGCACCTAACTGATGACTCAGCTGTAGAATAGAAGCAGTTTCCTTTCATCATTTCCTAGACCTCAACTTAAAAAGAATTAGACTTGGATGATGTGCTAAAAAGTCTGTGAACATGTAGGTCACTGAAATATTCATATATTCATAAGTATTAATAGATTCAAGCCCACTCAGTTTGTAAAAATGCAACATAAAAAGACAGACAGATCACAGTGTTCCACTTTAGGAACACAAAACCAGTTCTGTGCTGCAATTCAGAGCCCAGTTGTGCTGAAGGAGGTGGCTGCTCTTACCTGGAGGGTTTGTTCTTTTTGGAAGGTTTTGAGGTTCTTCTGATGCTCCAAAGATATTGGATGCCATCCGGTGTGGCCTGCTTGAAGAAGAGACTTCTTCTGTACTCCCAAAGAGATTACTAGAACCTCCTCCTGGAGGCTTCAATACCCTACATTGCAGAATGAGAGAAGCAAGACACAAAAGTTTGTTTGAAATTCACAACATTCAACATATTTGATGTCCCCTCCCCATTTGCCCTTGTGTGTTATGAATAAGTAAGTTCAAAACAGAATAATTCAAGTAATTCTGCTATGTTTATGAAGTAGCTACTTTTCAAGACCTGTTCTAATAAAATATTCTCAAGTTCAGCAAATATTCCCAGCCTCCTAGTCAGTCAACTTGATCATTATGTTATCCACTATTACTTGGAATGGTCATAACAGTGCCACCAGGGCAAATGGCTATGCTATCTGTGGTGTTCCAGAAGCAACAGAAGATTAAGAGAAGACATATGACTCTGGTTAGTGTTTTAAAAATAACCATTACAGAATCAGACTTTCTGCTAAACTGCACATACCAACTTCACACCTGCGATACAATTCCAACCCATCAACTTTTAAATAAAAGCAGACATTTCATAAGTACTAAAAAATTGGCTAGTTTCAACCATCAGTTATCATATTAGCTGCTGTAGAGCTTAGAATGGAAAAGTGGAATGCCAAGAAGCCAAATTTTTAGTGGGCAAGATGCAAATCCATTAAGACCAAAGCTCTGCACCAGAGGTATATCAAACAGATCCATGTAAAAATTGGAGGCTACGATAGAAATGGACTGACTTCTTGAAAATCTACCAAAAGCATGCTTGTTCTTGAGTATTAAGTCCACAGTTAATACCTATGTCTTGTTCTACAGACTTCAGGTCCTGTCCTGAACCACTACCTGGTACAATCAGTGGAATTAATTGGAAAATTAACAGAAAAAGCATGGGAAAGTGATGAATACCTAGTTATTAAAAATTATCTTTACAGTTATGTCTACTTGACCAATCATCCACAATCTTAGCAGCTGAATTCTACCTCTTCTAATCCAAATACTCAATTTGAGACCTCAACTAACCTTTACTTTTATACAAAGAGAACAGTAATAATTTACAAGACCTTTATCCCCCTCTACCTGAACAGATTTCAAATATCAGTGCATTAATACAACACATTCCCTCCATAGATCTGTGACAAATCAGGTGAGGTATCCGCTAGGCACAAAAAGAGGTTCCTCTCAGAGCCAAGATCTACTCCAATTTAACTCTGAGATTTAATTTCACAAAAACAGAGATATTTGGCTGCCCTGTTAGAAAATTAGCTTTGTCAGCATTTCAGTTCTCAGGATGCAGAAAGCAGTTCTATTCTTCTTGGGAGGAAGCAGAAAAACGTTCCTCTTTTAGTCTGGGAGTAGTTTATATAATCAGAACCGTATAAAAAGCAACCAAAACAAAACAGAGAGACTGTCTTTACTGTCCAATTTCAATATTTTAATCCTTAGTAAGATTCTGGATTTAATGAACCCCTTTAGCTTGAGGGAGTAACTAGAATTTCAGTAGACAGGACAAGTGTCATATCCACTGCACAGGTAAGATCATATCTGAGCATAAGGTTTATTTACAATTTAGTGTCCAATAGACTACAGATTCAACTATGCTACAGGCTTTCCACATATCTTAAAAGATCTAAAACTGCTATTAAAACGACATCATATAGGCAAATTATTTATTTCAATCATTCACAATGGTCCAGAAACCATGAGGCAGTTTAAGCATTTAAACTGGAAGATGGAAGTGAAAAGGGAACAATAAAAAAAACAAAACAAACAACTAGAGGTGTTTAGGAAGAGGCTCCTATTAAGAAGGTCTGCTAGTATGCCTTATAGAATTTAAGTGATTTCTGACTTTACCCATTCTTTTCAGCTATTTTTAAACGCATCTTCTTGAGTTCTAAGTATACTATCAAAGAGATTGAAAGGAAGAGAAACATCGTTTATACAGATGGAGTTTCTTACACTATAGATTCACTCAATTTACCATGCTGTTTTCTTAACACATGCCTACAAGCGTAGGAGGGAATAACTACCTACATTCAGATTTTTTTTGTTTCAGACAACCAGTCATAAGAATCAAATTACTTCTCATACCTGCAACTGGATTTAAGAACCATTGCAAAAAACATTCTAGAGAAACCCCATTTTAAGATTAAAGGTCTTGATTATTCAGTTAACAAACTTAATTAAGCATCAAGGGAAATCCAACACAATCTTATATTGTCATCCTATTTTCAGCTCAGTATACATGTTAAGAGAATGCTACTGTTGCAGTGAATAAGTCAGAGGCATCACTTGAGGTGCTTATGAGGCACTTTGAAATCAGCAGAATAGGTGACCTTTTCCACCAGCATCACCCAAAAGAAAGTCTTGACTTTGCATACACAAAGGGGATTTGCCTTCTCAGTTTCAGAAACTTCTAACTGCTAGGAACCTTCCAAATATCCCATAAGCTTTCAAGCAATGGTGGTACCAGGTCCATAACATTCTAACTAATGCAAAGTCAGGTAACTAAGTCATTCATAAGAATTACCAAAAATAATCTTGAAGTACAGCAACAAGGTCTTCCAGTTTATGATAGCAAGAGGACAGGGTTTTGTGCTCCTTCACTTCAGCCAAAAACTGGGAAGAATACAAAGCTACTTTCTTGCTGTGTCACCTCTAGAGCATTACTGACCTCCTTGTACTCCCATGTCACTCAGCTGTAGATCAGAGTGAGATGTACACATCTCCCACACCAAATAAGAAAATAAGACTTAGTCTGTGAATCCTACCAATGGAAAACAGCATACTAAACTTGATAGCCAGCGTGAGCTGCTTCAACAGATCAACACAGTACAAGGACATTCAGCATACACTTCATAGTAATTTTAGTTCATACTTTAGAGTAATTTTAGTTTATATTGGTATTATGCCAGTTTACATTGATATTTTTGTGTCTTGTAGCCAGATAAGTTAAGATCTTCCTTCGGGAGGACGAGGGGGGAAAGGAAGGTGTTTTGTTCTTTCAAACAGTAATGGAAAAAAAAAACCAAACGCTTTGTTTTCTACATAATCTAAATATGCCTCTCCTCTCTCTCCCCTCCAGTAGACTCGAAGTCTGTCAAATCATCTAAAACAGCCAAATTAAGAACCCTACCCTGTAAGTTTAAAAGCCTCTACTAATTGCTTTGTTCTCTTCTGGCAGGCTTGAAGAATTTTAATTAGTTCTTGTGGTCTTTTTTTCCTACATTCTAACACACTTGAATTTGAATGTCTTTTCCTCATTAAACCTTTCAGCCGACTTATGGAAGAGGTGCCAAGACTTCGCCAGTGCCTTGAAGTAATGGGTATATAAATAAATCAATCAATAAATATATTTTTAAATTCTGCCTGAAATTTAAACACTGAAGTCCTACCAGTTTTCAGACAGTTCTGATACAGCAGGTAAAATAGCAGAGTTGCAGTATACATCAGAGTCCATCACTAAGGTAACTAGCAGAAAGCAGGTGGTAAAGTTTGGAACACCAGGCTCTAAAGCAAAGACCAGAAAGTTCCTGGGGGCAATCCTGCTGTCGGATCAGTACAAGCTCATGGCTCATTAAATAGCTCACACATTTTATAAACAAACAGCAAGCTCTGTTAAGTCAGTTATACTCCTGATCTGAAAGATCTGCAATATTCCGCAATAACACTGATGTGGAGGAGGGGAACACGTGTATCACATTTCCAAGGTGGCTATATCTTGTATTTTCAGCTCTGTACAGCAGTTGTGAAACTGCTCGTATACTAGATGAATTGAGGATACATAAAAACAATGCATCTTTACAGGGTGCACCAACAGTAGAATCACAGAATCATTAAGGTTGGAAAGGATTCCAGATCATCAAGTACAACTGTTAACCCAATGCCACCATGCCTCCTAAACCA